CCTCGGGGACACCCTCCCCAGCCCCCTGGGGATCCCCCGGGACGCTTGGGGACACATCTCCCAGCCTCTCAGCCCTGGAAACCAAGGGGGGGCCTGTAAAACGTGGGGGATGCACCCTCCCGCTGCTCTGCCCTGGAAACCAAGGGGCGCCTGTAAAACATGACAGGGTTTTGTCTCCCTTCTCCTCCTCCCCGAGGTCCGTGCCTTCCACCACGCCTTCAGCACCAATGACTGCTCACGGAACGTCTACATCAAGAAGAATGGCTTCACGCTGCACCGCAACCCCATCGCCCAGAGCACGGACGGAGCGCGGACCAAGATCGGCTTCAGCGAGGGGCGCCACGCCTGGGAGGTGTGGTGGGAGGGCCCGCTGGGCACCGTGGCTGTCATCGGCATCGCCACGAAGCGGGCGGCCATGCAGTGCCAGGGTTACGTGGCCCTGCTGGGGAGCGACGACCAGAGTTGGGGCTGGAACCTGGTGGACAATAACTTGCTGCATAACGGAGAGGTGAACGGCAGTTTCCCCCAGTGCAATAACGCACCCAAATACCAGGTGAGCGGGGCTTGGTGCGGCCTGGAAGCTCCACCATGTGTGATGGCGGTTGGCCATCGATGACCTCCTCCCTTGCGCGTCCTAGCTGTCTGCTGAATTGGTCCTAAACACCCACCTAAGGGTCTTTTCGCCTTCCCTGCAGAAGGCAAACGACTGTGCCTTGTGAGGCCTTTCCCCCTGCATTTACTGCTTCCTCAGGCTCTGTGTGGTGTTCAGCACACCTGACCCTCAGGTTTCTTTCCCGGTTTTATTTCAAATACTGAGTGTGAAGCGTGTACCATGGGCGTCTGCTTAGACACCATGTTGCTTGCTGAAACAAAAGCTGAAAAGGCTCTTGCAGCCTTCTGAAGTAACGGCGTGCCCCACAGCAAGGTGAACGTCTGTGGTATTTTACCTCTTTGTTGTACAGTGGTGTGAGCTGAGGTTAGCGCTTAGGTAAGAGCCTTCCTGCAAAAACCTGCGGCACTGCTGAGTGCTGCTTGTTGGCTTGCTGGCAGCGTTCCTTTAGGTGACATCCCTTGGCTGGGATGTGATCTTCAAATCCTTTCAGGTTATTGAAGAGCAGGTGCTGTTCCACCTTTTTGTCACTGTAGAAGTGTTTGTTCTTCTGACTGCTCACATTTTGACTGCTGGTTTTCCTCGCGTTACGGTTCAAGCTGTACGTGTTACAATTTCCATCTCGTGATGCTGTGGCTTTGTTATGAGTATTGGTTTATGTTTCAGTTGTGGGTGATGATCTGTGATGTAACTTGTATCCGATACTCCTAAATTTCATGTAAAGGTTCACTGCCAAGCACTTAATTCTTTCTGAAGGTTATACCTGCCATTCTTGCAAATAATACCTAAAATTAGTGTAATTAAAGAATTTTAGATCTCTTTCCATTTGCATGTTCCTTAGCATGCAAATTGGGTCGGCACTTTCCAGGCTTGACCCTTCGTGGTTGCTTTCTGCTGTCCTTGTCTAGGCCTTTCTGCAGCAGCAGGGCGAGGAAAGGTTTTGAAGCCAAGAGTGTGGGGCCTCAGGAATGAGCACAGTTGCTGCTTCCTCTGTAGGAACTGGTCAGAGCTCGAATCGCTGTGCCTTTGGGGGAGTATTTTGTGTTTATTAAGGCACGTACAGCGATCTGCTCACAGAACACACAGAGGAAATACACGTGTGTGTCAGTGTGGGTTAGAAGGAATATGTGTTGGCTGGAAGAAATCCCCGGCATCGGGGCTGGCTGGTGAAGTAGCAGAAGTTCGTGCGGCATCCTGCTGTGGTGTCTGGGACTTCTCTTTACTAGAGAAGTACAGGGAGCACCACACATGCCTAGAGCTGAGTCTCTTGCTGTGCTCAGCGTTGGTTTCACTCGGGGGTGTGTGTGTATATATAGGTATAAGGTTTTGCCTAAGTTTTGACCTGGTATTTCCTTCTGCCTTGGTGAGGGAATACCCCTGTCAGCCACAGCACCTGCACAGTAGTGTATTCTGGTGTGTTTACGTTGCACTTACATTTCTAAAACGAGTTCATTGTCTGTAAACGTGCTCCTCGCGGAGCCATTATCGCTCAGCCACAGCTAAACACACAGCTGGGGTAACTTGGGGGCCATTACAAAGTTTCCAGACCCGCAGTATTCTGAAGCACGTGGCAGGCAGTATGCTTGCTCCTGGTGCTCTTGCAAGGTTCAGATAAGAGGAGTTAGGTTTGTTATCGCCTAAGTGGTTAGATACAGGCTGCCCACTGCAGACGGCAGCAGAGGTACTCGGGATCCTAGCGCATTTGAGCGAAATTGAGAATTTCCCATCACAGAAGTCGTGAGAATCGGGGCAGCCTTGCTGTGCTGTACACGGGCTGAGCTGTATTTTTGTGTCTCCATTTGAATACGCTGACTCTCTGTATTTTTTTTATTCTCCCCTCCTGTTTCTGCTTCCAGATAGGCGAAAGGATTCGAGTTATCCTGGACATGGAAGACAAAACATTAGCGTTTGAGAGGGGCTACGAGTTCTTGGGAGTTGCCTTCAGAGGACTGCCAAAGGTTTGCCTGTATCCAGCAGTGTCTGCTGTCTATGGTAACACAGAAGTGACTTTGGTCTACCTGGGAAAACCTCTGGATGGATGACGTGGATTGTTTTGCTGGGACATCGAGATGTGGATGACTGGGAGGAGAAATCTGCATGTTGGTTAGAGGGAAACGTGTATTAGAGGAAAAACAAAAAAGTGTGGGTGTGTGTCCAAGAACCATCGAGGGAATCGCACGGAGTTCTGAAACGGAGGACCAGCCATACTTCAGGAATTGTTACATTTCCTCTTTCTACCAGGCCAGAAAAATCCTCAGGGTTGCAGTTGGTTGAGTGGGAAGCTGACACATGCATGTTGCAACAGATTTCCTTGCTAAGGTGGCAGTGCGTGACCTCAGATATTTAAGAAAGGATTTGGTACAAAACTGCTTAAGGAAGTTAACCCGAGATTTGTAAGTAGCGTGTTTTGTGAAAGACTCCCATTTTAAAACTGCTTGTTCCTTCCCTTCCCTCCTTTGGGCCAGCGTGGGTGCCGGAGGAGAGCGAGTTTGGTTGGGTTTTATTTACAGTTTTTAACATACTGAGAAGCGCGGTCTGCCTGGACTGCCCTTCTCTGGTATAATGATACAAAATGTGTGCAGCTATTTTTAAGTGTATTTTAAGGGGTGTATATATAGAGCACATTGAAAAGAGCAGTTAAAAGAAAGGGTTTGCTTTATTCTAACTGGGACATAATTTCTTAAAGGGGAAACCCCCTCTCCCACTACGTGACATCAGAAAATATACCTCGGACAGGTATATAACATCATGTCAGTGTACTTCTGCCGTATTGTAAAGCATTTTGGGATGCTCTTGTGGAGTACGGTGCTACGTTGGGTCATTTTCTGTGAGAGTTTCCATAGCTTTAGCAACAGTTTTGTTCTCCGTGGGAAACACAGAACGTTTTCCCCACGAGTTTCCTTTCACCGGAATTTGCAGTCCCCTTTAGGAAAGGAAGCCGCAACACAGCGGAGAGCTCGTCTTCCTTTCGACATCAAATACACTAACGTTCAAAAGCACTCTTAAGCTTTCTAATCACTGCTGCGAAGTGTTTCAGAATATTGAGGAAGGAGCATTCAGTTTCTGCATCCAGACCTTGTTTTCAACTTAAACGGCTCAGTAAGGCTTTAAGACTCAGCTGAACCTTTCTTCAATTCAAATAAAATCCCATGGTACCCAGGTGTTCACCCACCTGTTTTCAGTCAGGATGAGTAGGCCACCAACCCTTTCCTGGGGATTCTGGATCAGGTTCAATGTTTGGGCTTTTCACTTGCACCGTTTTTTCCAAAAGCTGTGTACAACCCCCGCTGGTGCGTGGGTGTGCAGGCATACGCTGGCTAGGGCGGCTGGGGAGCTGAGGGTTGTACTGAGGAGGGACTTCCTGGTGCAGCTGCTTTCCCCTGATGTTGGAAGATCCGCAGGGAGCCCCGGCAGAGCCGTTTTTTAATAGGGCATCGAAACCTTCAAGCCCTGCGGCTAGCCTGTCACTCGTTGCGTGTTGGTTGGGGTTTCTCAGGGCTGGCTGAACCATTTCAGAGTTGGGCATGCTTTCCAGAGAGGGAGAAGGAGATGTTTCTACAACCTCTTTTTGCTTTATTTGCGCTAGAGGATGTGAATTGCTTAGTACTGGACGCTGGCAATTCTCTGAGGATGGGAGAGAGAGGAATTCCTCAGACTGTTGCTCATCTCCCCCCTCATTACTCGAGTGACGTGAGGAGCGTGGTGCCAGCGAGCGAGGCTTCTGGTCTGCTGCTGCCAAGCTGTCCTTGGGGATGCTTTTTACCTGGTAGATAACCAAGTTCTGCACTGGAACAGAGTATGTATGTCATTACCCTTTAAAAGTATTTATTTGTTTTGTGTGTTGTTTATTGCTTTAAGGCAATATGGAGGTCCATTCCTCTTGGCTGTATTAAGCAAAATACGCAGTGAGAAATGATGTAAGTGGTGCTGGGGCGTGCGAGTACCTTTTGGAAGAATCTGTTACAAGCATTGATTGTACGAGACTGTAAAGGATGTATCTGCATAGCAGGACCCCGGGGTGAGAAGTAGGGAAAAAAGGAAACAAAACCCTGTCCAATTTCACAAAATAAAGTTGTCCCCTAGATGAATGTATTCTCAGTGCAGTCCTGAAAGGTGTGACCTCTGCGCTTGTTCGTGAATCCAATTAGATGCAAGTAAACCCTGAGAACTCCCGAGGAACTTTATCCACAAATTAAGATTGATTTCCATTCTCCAGACTGCGTCTTACCCCATCAGTAATCTCCCTCTAAATTAAAAGTGCTGAAAGTTGAACATTCCTTAAGGGTGGGTTGGGGGGGGGGCTCACTTATGTAAGATGATAACTTATTCCTGGAGACCAGAGCTGGCTGTACAAAATATTAAATAAACTCTGCCGTAATTCAGAAGGACGTACCGGTGTGTGGTGTGATGGCATCCGCGGTGTGGTGACGGCAGGAACGGAGCGGCGGTTTGGTGCATCGAGGAGGTGGAGGTGTTGGGACTGTGGGATTCGCCGCGCGACTCTGGGAAAGAGAGAATGTGATGAGTGCTTAACGAGGACTTGAAAACTCAGCGGTCTAATTAGCAGCGCTTGGGGAATTGCATCCTCTGAAACAAGGATACTCGTGCCTGACGGTGTGGGGAAAGGCTTTCCTGGCTGCTGGAGGTCTCCTGATTGGAACTGAGGTGTTGTGCTCACTGCTGTGGCTTCCCAGCTCTGCTGCTCTCGGGTCCTTCAGCCTTCCGTACGGAAGTTCGGTATGTCGCGGTGCTTTGAGGAAGAAGTAGGTGATTTTAAAGAAGTAGGAGATGGTGGTGTGGTTGTGAGCTCCGAGGCACTTTCCAAACTCTCTGCATCGAGAAGTTGCATTTAAGCAGTGAGTTTTTGGCTAACACCTCTGTGAGCCGCTTCAGGAGCGAAGCGGTTGGATGCTGGCTCGCCAAAAACGTGGGATCCCGCTTTCTGGCCTGCGGTACTTCAGTTGGCTGAGCAGCTGTTTGAAGTATTTCCCTACCCTGGCTGGTATTAATGGCTTTGGTCAGGAGGAACATCGACTGTTGTAGTTCCCCTAACAAAAATGGGTCAGATTCGCAGGATTCGGAATCCTGCAGGACATCCAGACTTTTCTGATAAGTATGTTGTCTGTCATTGGAACAAAGCTCCAGAGTTCCTTGTGGCTGTGGTTTAAGTGTGCTGTGAAATCTGCAGGGAGCTTAACGGCTGGTCGTCTGATCTGCTCCCGTTTCTGTACCCGAGGAAGCGAAGAGCTCGATATGGCCATTGATCGCGGGCTCGTGGCTTTGGTGGTGGCTTGTGTTGGCCTGCAGCCAGCTGCTTTGCCCCTAAGAGGACGGAGGTGCAGCGGGAACGAAGCGGTCAATCGTGATGGCGTGGGAAACTCACCCTGGGAAGGATGTTTGCTTGAAAATGTGTTTTCCCCCCTTAAAGTGCAGTGATGAGAGTGCCTTTTTGGGAGTCCTGTGTGTGCTTTCTGCTAGCAAAGGGCAGTTGGTTTTGTTGCTTCTGGCCAGGTTTCAGGTGACGGAAGGAGCCAGGAGCAGATGGCCTTGATCTGTGGGCTGAACTTCTGCCACCTCGGATGCGCCGCCGTTCTCTGCCTGCCTCGGAATCCCATAGCAAGCTGGAACATACCAGCTTTTCTCTCCGCTTACCCATGATCCACACTGTTAAATTTCCTTAATGTGCCCATTTCTTTTCCAGATGGCTGCCTCTGGTGGTTTTTTTTCCACCCCTCTTCTGCTTTGGCTGGGATGACGACAGCAGAGCTAAATTAAAATAACGCTCGGCCTGATGGTAATTTGATGGTGCAAACCGTGTTTTCTCTCGGTGTTTGAGAGGTAACAAGCCCTCTGATTCCTGAGCCGCTGTGTTTCACTGCGGATATTTCGGTTCTGGCGAAACATTTACGCGTTATAGATAGCTCTGGGCGCCGTCAGGAGTGTGGCTCAGTGCGGTGCATGCTGCCGTTCTCCGCAACTGTGCTGGTTCTTGCATAATACACATCATTTGGGGAAATTTCTGGCCAGAAAACTGTGTTCTGCTCTCGGATCCTTCCTGCGTTCGCAAAACACATTTTTAAATGGTTAGGAGTGTGGCATGTCTGATTCCTGCATGTGATAGGAGTCCGCCTCCCGCTAGGGCATAATTTGGCTAAGAGGTAAATTAATTAAGTGGTCAGTGAACACAGGGAACAGTTCCCTGCAGTGTTGCTGAACCTGCTCATTTATACTTTAAGCAGCATTTTTCCTACTGCTGTTTGGTGCTGTACATGTCGTGTGGCCGCCGAATGAATTCTCACACCTCCCCACAAGAGGGCAAAGTTAAACAGCACCGTGGGAGCCTGGACTTCGCATTTCCTAAGTGTTGTGTGAAATGAATGTTTAATGGAATCATAGAATCACAGAATGGTTTGGGTTGGAAGGGACCTTAAAGACCATCTAGTTCCAACCCCCCTGCCATGGGCAGGGACACCTTCCACTAGACCAGGTTGCTCCAAGCCTCATCCATCCTGGCCTTGGACACTTCCAGGGATGGGGCATCCACAGCTTCTCTGGGCAACCTGTTCCAGTGCTTCACCACCCTCTCCGGGAAGAACTTCCTCCTGATATCCAATCTAAATCTCCCCACTTTGAATTTAAACCCATTACCCCTTGTCCTGTCACTACAGGCCCTTGTAAAAAGTCCTCCCCAGCTTCCTTGTAGCCCCTTCAGGTACTGGAAGGCTGCAATAAGGTCTCCCCGGAGCGTTCTCTTCTCCAGGCTGAACAAGCCCAACTTTCTCAGCCTTTCATCATAGCAGAGGGGCTCCAGCCCTCTGAGCATCTTCGTGGCCTCCTCTGGACTCGCTCCAACTGGTCTATATCCTGCTGATGTTGTGGGTTCCACGGTTGGACGCAGCACTCCAGCTGGGGTCTCACAAGAGAGACTTGTCCCAAAAGTGTCATGCCAGAAAGGAGGGATGCTGAGCCCTGAGGCTGAAGACCAGGGAGAGGAAGACTTTGGAGTGTGCACACTCCGGCTTGCTCCCAGCCCTGAGTGAAATCCACCTTAGGTTGCTTGCGAGATAATGCCACGCAGCCGGGAAGTTGGTTCTCCCAGCCAGAGGGGAAAGCTGGGTGGGATGCGTTTAGCTCTGTAAGGAGCTGAGATAGTTTCAGTTCCCTTCACATTAATGACACAATTAGTCACTTCTCTTTAGTGGAACGGCAGCAGGAAGGGAGTACGTGTGCCTACCGATGGGAGTCGTTTTTCTTGCCACCGTTTGCATCGCTGAATGACGTCATGGCAGTAACTTGTCCGTATCTTCTTCTGGTGCTTTAGAGCCTCCAGTCCTGATGGTTTTACACCAAAAACTTTGGTAAATGTGCTGGAGTAGATGGGTTGGGTGTTTTGGTTGCTTTTATTGGTTTATTTGATTGTACAGTACAAACCTGAGGTCAGTTTATCCACATCTGGTGACCCTGTGGGAAAACCTTGGGCAACGCTTTC